GCTCATCCTCCTGCGGCCCCGCCCCCAGTTCCTCCTTCTGAAGTCCCGCCCCCAGCTCATCCTCCCGTGGCTCCGCCCCCAGCTCCTCCTCCTGCAGCCCCACCCCCAGCTCATCCTCCTGCGGCCCCGCCCCCAGCCCCTCCTCCGCCAGCTCTTTCTCACAGCCCAGCTTACCCAGCAGCTCTGCCTCAGCTCCTCCTTGTCTTCAGCAGTTGAGTGGGCCTGGCAGTGACGGTTCAACCCGATGATGCACGGATCGTGCCCACCCCAGGGCCTGTCACATAGAAGGTGTGTGTGCACTGAGGCTAGTGGTTCTCGTTCTCATTATTTCTTTCTCAGGGCTCAGGTCTGGGACAGGGGAAGGGGCTTGAACAGGGTGGCACCTGAAGGAGTCAGGAGGAGACACCTGACGGGGCCACCTGTGGTCACACGTCACTCTGAGGGCTGAGCTGAGGTTGGATACCAAGGACTTGTGCACAGCAGCCCTGGGGTAGGAGCCAGGAAGCTCAGGGCCTGCGGTGCCTGGGGCTGGCATAGCCAGGGCGCTGAGAGTATCAGCGATGTCTGGGTAGGGGGAGGGCAGCAGGAGAAAAAGCAGAGCCCAGGACTGTCCCTGTGTGCTGCCAGAGGGCTGAAGCCAGCCCCGACTCTCACTAGCCCACACTCCTCCGTGTTCCCCTCGGACTTGATGACCTCTGTCATAGGACTGACCACACGCTGTGCTGCCTTTGCCTTTCTCTACCTGTCCGTGCCATAGTCCGTGAGCTCTCCGAGCATTCCATCAGGTGGATCTGAGTCACCCAAATCCCAGCCTTCCCAGTCCCAGTCTTCCTTTGGGACTGCTGTGCTGACAGATGGAAGCAGCGAACCATCGAGGTCAGTGGGGATTCAGGTCACCTGGGAAACGGGGTGAAGGTCGGGCCCACTGGCCGTGAGCTTGGAGGACTGGTGTGTGATGAGCTTCTGTGTTCCCACAGGCCCCCGAGGCCCAGAGAGCTTGTGGAAGATGAAGATCTGTTGCCTCTCCTTCCGGCAGCCTTATGCTGGCTTTGTCTTAAACGGGGTCAAGACCTTGGAGACATGTTGGTGTCCCCTGCTGGGCAGCCACCAGAACCATACCATCGCCATCCACATTGCTCACAGGGACTGGGAAGACGACACCTGGTGGGAGCTGCTGCAGGAGAGGCTCGGGATGACGCCCGCTCAGATTCAGGCCTTGATTCGGGAATGGGAAAAGTTTGGCCGAGGAGAGGTAGCTGGTAAGTGACAATGTGTCGATCGTTGTACAGATGAGTCCAAGAGCTGCCACCCTGGATCTGGCTGGGGAGTTTGGGGGCTTCTCTTTTGTTTTGAACTGGTTTGTGTGTTTGCTGCAGTTTTCCTAAGCAACACAACTTCAATGGGGCAGCAAGGGGCCCTGAGCTGGGGTCTGCAGGCCCAGCCTGAATCACCTCCAGTAAATCATTTCTCTGCTCTGGGCCTTGGTTTCTGATTCTGACCTGTGAGGCTGGGTCATGTCCATGATGTCATGTGGTGCTGGGCTGTGCGTGTGCGTGTGCGGGTGAGTGGGGGGGGGCAGAGACCACCAGAGGCAGCACAGCACATTGTGCAGGTCGGCTGCCTGCCTGGCTTCGCGTGCCTGCCCTGTCCCCACCACCAGTGGCACCCTGGGCTAATCCCTTCACCTCCGTGGGTGGTGGAGGGTCCACATCTGCACCTGTCCCTGGTGAACTGCCTCAGAGCCTCGTTGCCTCCATGTTCCCGGGCAGTGGCTGGTGCCCTTCCATTCTGAAATTCCTACCCTCAGCAGTCTTGCTGGCACCTGCATATTATTTGTGTCACTTCACAGAGGAGTAAGCCCTGTCCTCTTCATTTCTGAAACCCTCCCTCTGCCTCACCCAGGATTCCCGGAACATGTTTGGTTCATCATCTGTGCTCAGAGAGAAGGCCCTGCTGCCCTTCCTGTCTTTGTGGTGATGTCATCTAAGTCTGTAGCGGCCATAATTTTGAATAACCAAGTTGTCACACTGGCAAGCCTTTGTTTATGGAAGGAAAAACCACCTGTGTGTTTCTCTCTTTGTGCACAGGGCTCGTTGACATTAGGGAAATGTTGGATAGTCCTGAGAACTTAGCTCCTGAGGAAGTTGTGGAATTGGAAAAGCAAGCTGTCCTGAACAACCTGCAGCAGAAGTACCTGACTGTGATTTCCAACCCCAGGTGGTTACTGGAGCCCTTACCTAGCAAAGGGGGAAAGGATATATTCCAGGTTGACATTCCAGAGCACCTGATCCCTTTTGACCAAAAGGTATGACGTGTGTGGGCTCTTGAGAGGAATGTAGCTGAGAAACCAGCTAAATCATGGCACCGTTGATTTGCCATCTTGGCGCACGTGCATGTAGATCAGGTTAAGTGTGAATTACGCCTGCGTTGTACCATGATTCCTACTACATGGCGTTCACAGAAACGGGTTTCTGTGCTCACAAGAAGGGTATAGGGGGTGTTGCTGGTCATTTTGTTCCTACTAATGTCTGGATTGTAGAAATAAATGTGTCACAGTTAACTGTGAAGTGTCTGGGGCTCCTTTATGTTTCCCCAGTCTTTGTTCTGGTCAAAACTCATCAGCTCTTTGATCAGTATCCTTGTGACCTTTTGCAAAGCGTGGGTCCAGGCACTGAATGGTTGCTCAACAGTGACCAGCCATCAATAGCCTGACTCATCCAGGAGGAAGAGGACATCAGACTTAAAAACTTGCAGCTGTCTGTCCTTCCAGATTCCTCTAGGTCTCTTGCACATGCATCTCCCACTCATGAAGGCCAATGGTTCATGAAGCCCATGATGTTTTTGTGATTTCCCAGCAAAGTTTCGAGTGGTGGTTAGTTATGAGTATCATGGGCTTTCCCCCCAGGCATGTACTGGAGTTGCTGGTCTCTTCTGAGCCAGAACACATTACTTGTACCTCCCTTAGCAGATGAGGCAGCCTCTTTGGAGGGCCCCTGGGTGCTGGGTTGGGACTCTTCGCTGTGGAACAGAAACTTCCTGGGAACAGTGTGGGGACAGCGATGAGGAAAGAATCTCCTATATCAAGGTATGGGAATAATGTAAGGTGATACTCCCAAGGTCAGAACTGAGGCTGTACTGACTCCTGAGCAGCAGGCAAGGCTCAGGGGACTGGATCTTGCTGGGCGCGCCCTCACAGTTTGTAGAAAATCCTTTGCTGAGTGTGTGGAAATGCTGCTCCCTCAAATGGAAGAGGACAATGGGAAACAAGCCTGTCTTGGGCAGGGTCTTTAGCCTCACGTCCATGAGACGTGTGGTATAGACGGTTAGAAATGACGCAGAGTCCTGATTCTCATTTAGATGGTTTATTTGCTACCATGAGGTTTTGTTGTGTTTATTAAGACCAAAAATGGGTTCACCATTTGAAAATGGCCCTTTATATCACTCCTCAGTGGCCTTTGAGTTTAGGGACCTGGATTGTCCTTAAACTATTCACAGAATGCACACGTGTAATCAGCCCTCCTGCTCTTCCTCATTGGGCGGATCACTGGGAGACATTTCTAAGAGGGAAGCCATCACAATGGAATAACAGATGTTATACAGAGACACTGGGAGACCATTGCCTGGGTAAAGTGGGAGATTGGGGAGCGGGTCCCCTCCAACTTCCATCCCAGCATTGGCCCTGGGCTCAAACCTAACATTCACAGAAGTGGCCCTTTCCCAACTTGGATCATTTGGCTCTTCAGGGGGACGATTTCCTAGGGGTTGTCTAGCAACACTGCCCCTAGACCCGGTACCCCCTTGGAACATGGAGAACTGAGGGTTACTGGGACCCTGAATATTTGGGGCTACCCCCTGGGGCTTGCTGTTGGCTTCTTTCTTGGGATTAATGTGTTGGATTCGCAGGGATTGTCTCGTAGGTACCAGCTTCTTTCTCTTTGCGGTTGCTGCACAGGTTGCTGGCACAGCAGTGTTTCTGAGGTCACCTTTTCTATGAATGTTCTCAAGGAGCCCAGGATGATCTCTCTGAAAATTGGGGTTCCCGTAAAGCTGAAACAAAAGGAAACATTTCAGTCACTCTGAGATTAGATGTCCATTGCTTTTATCACCCAGAATCACAAGAGTCTTATTTCATGATGGAGAAAGGAAATGTTTAAGGTGCTGGCAGGTGTCACTGTGCCCTATAGCATGACCTCACTAGAGAGAAACAATTCATAAGTGAGGGTGGCAGTCTGTACATTTGACATTCCCTGGCTCTGAGAGTCTCTACTCCTACCCACAGAGTATCTCTAAGGGGGTGGTAATTTAATATCAGAATCTGTGCTTTCTAAGTGGAGATTTTAATATTTCAATAAATAATAGCTCATGTTAAAAAATGTTGTCCTCACAAATGAAACTCTTGTAGTATGTCATTCACCTTGGCGTCCTGTAAAGATGTTGGAGTAACAGAGAAAAGGGGTAAGAGGAATATTTTCTACTTTACCATAAGTTTCTTGTTCCCCTGAGAATCAGCTGAAGAGGCCTTTGTGCGTATTTTGCTGAATCCATAGCGGTTCATTTGGCGAATGAAGGTCTTCATGCTGTCTGTTTCAAAAATCCTGTCCACTCCTCTCCTGCGAAGAATTTCCCTCTGGAAAAGGTCTTCCTCTATGACCACGGTGTGTCCCTCGTCATCCCAGTGCACAGACTCGAAAGCATCATCCTCAACGATCTTCCAGAGCCTCCTCGGGAAGGAGAGTGTTCTGGGGTCACTGTCTTCTTCTACACGGGATGCACGATGGTTTTGATCTGCTGGTTGTTCATCATTTTGGGAGTCTGCATCTTGTCCCATGGCTTGGTCATCTTGGCCGTCTGATACCTCCCTCGGATCCAGGTTTGGATCAGGTGGGACCCCACCTGCTGGCTCTCCACCAGAAGATGAGGCGAGCTGGTCGTATAGCATACATTATACGAAGTTATACGAGTCTGTATCTTGTCCCACGTTTTGGTCACGTTGTCTGTCTGATACCTCCCTCGGATCCAGGTTTGGATCAGGTGGGACCCCGCCTGCTGGCTCTCCACCAGAAGATGAGGCGAGCTGGGTTTCACTGTCATCAGTACCCTGACTATCCATGAGGCTACACTGTCATCAGGAGCAGTTTGTACCCCACACCATTAACCACTGTCCCCGTAAGTACAAACTGCCTTCAGTCTGAGTGGCGATGCCCAATAAATACTGTCCACATGATTCTAGAATCTCAGTAGGGGGGCAACCAGGGCTTGTCATGTGATGTCACATAGGTGGCTCACGGCCAGTCTGGAGATTGAGCCCTGGCCAAGTGTTGGGGGCGGGGGAGCCAGTGGCTGGGACACCCTGCTTCTCTCTTTTCTAAAAGTGTAGAAAGGGTGGTTCAGATTCCCAGAATAGTCTCCCATGTGCTGACAGACACATGGTTTCACGGGCCCACCCCTGCATGAGTTGAGTGGCCTTGATCCCATGGCCACTCCCACCCCTGAAGACAGGGGAGGCCTGTTGCTGGCCTCTCTGGTTTGCTCAAGGGCCAGTCCACAGTTAGTCCTAACTTGGGTATTGCCAGGACTGTCTGGGTCAGCTGGGCCCCTGGGTGACTGTACGTCCCAGGAGATGGTGGTCCCTACCAGGCTGGGAAATCTAGTCTCGGTTGGTGTCCCTCTTCTTCCCCCCATCTCTTCCCTCCTTTGGTCTCTTCCAACCTCTCGTGCTGGTGGGTTCCATCTGCTCAGATGGGCCCAGAGAAAGTGTGACTTATTACCACCTGCTCCAGTTGTCCCCAGAGTGTGCCTGTGCCTGAGCACAGTGGAAGTGCTCCTCTTTCTCCTTGACCTGAGCGGTACTCAGAGCACGGATGAATCCCTCTGGCATTTCTTTATTACCTTGTTAAACTTCCATTCTACCACGAAATTTAACTATTGGAATTACTGCAAAATTCTCTGTTTAATGCATTATTTACACACAAAATAGGCCTGAATTTTTAATCTCTTTAGCCCATCATAACTAAACAATAGGGCTTGGAACTGATGCAACAGTCTACACAAATGAGATGGGCCTTGAAAGCATATTATAGTCCTCAAACAGCAAAGTAGCTACTAGGGTGTGCAGAATTTAATAATTATTATTTTTTTTAGGTTATAATTGAAGAGAAAAATATTATTTTCATAAAAAATTCACAGAAGTCTAAAATACATTCCTTGATCCTGTTTTAGAAATAATGATCTAATTAGTCACTAATAAGAGGTGCTAAATTGGCTTATTGCTCCCAAAACCATGGTACTCAAAGACAGCAGTGTGTTACTGGCAGAGGTTATCAATGTAAATCTTGAACAGCTGTCTCTTCTACATCTCCGTTTCTTCTAACACAAAATACAGATAAGATTATCAATCCTGGCTTAAGGGTCAACACGTGTAATAAAACACAACTTTGTATTCTAACATACATTTTTATTACATTTTTATTTTATTCATGAGTTTTGATTTCATGAAGGACTTCCTCATTGTTAACTTTAGAAAAGTTGAAAAATATATTTCTAAATATAATTGGTGTCAGAAACGCACAGAATCTTTAGAGAAAGGAGGTGCAGAAGAGCATCCCAGAATGAAAAGATAATTACACAGCAGCTAAATAAAATGTTAGATGCAGTAACTAAAAATGAATTTTATAAAAGATCACTACTATTATTTTATTCTTATTTTGGCTACCCATGTATTGTTAAAATCACTCACGGTAAGGAATGGTTATATTAGCTACTTATTTCTGTACTTTTATCAATTTAGATGTAGTGCAGTGCTCATCACTTAACAGGAATATCATTCAACCTTTCGGTCAAAGAAGGCTTATGCATCTGAAATTAAATATTCATTCAAAACGCAATTTTTAAAAAAAACATAAAATATTTAAAAATAAAAATAAAAACCTATGTAACTACTTCATATTGGACATAGATGCGTTTCCCCATGACAATGGCTTCTGCCCAGACTCCAAAGTATAAGTATCTGCCTACCCAACTACAATATTGTGAGTAGATTTTTAAAAAAAATTTCAGTATTATCCATGCATGTTTCCATATAATAAAATCCACAATCACCCTGTGAAACTGGTTGCAAGTTTCTCAGTGTATAGCAAATTATCCATTAGGGAGAGAACTAACAACAAATCAACCAAGAAAATTAAATCTGCTAAAAGTTGTCAATAATACTTACTGCCTCTTATCATAGAATGAGTTAAGCTGACAAGTAACAATTCCAGAGATGAGTATCACCATTCTCTTTGAAATTAGACCTGTGTTGCATAACACTTC